GTTATTTTTTTTGGAAATTATTTTTGGTTCTACTCAAAGAAGTAAAGAAGATGTTATTAATAAAGACAAATCGTTTCACAATACATCTACTAACGTAGTAGATGAAATGAATAAAAGTAATATATCAACAATTCAAGTAGTATAAAAATAAAATTTGAAAATTGAAAGAGATAATAAAAAGGAAATAATAATTCTGAACAAACTTTGAATTAAAAACTATATTCAAGTGTAGAAAATCTACAAGAAAATGAATTAAACTCCATTACTCTTTTGATTCACATTCATCCTGTTTGACTCTAACATTCCATCCTCTTTGTACAGTTTCAATTGGATCAAAAAGGATTTTAATGATAATAGGATCATTTCTATCTAATTTTCCAAGTTTATCAACGTTGTCAGTTAAAGAAAATACATACCTATTCAATGCAACTCCACGAACCATCATTTCTTCTTGACTAAAGAGGAGTTGTGAGTGATAGAATGTTTTTCTTATTTTTTCTAATTGAATAACACCACCAGCATTTCGAGCCATTTTAGTTTCAAAAAAATAGCCAAGTTCAGTTGCAATATCTAAGAGGAGGTTTGAAAGAAAAATAAAACGATTTTTATCAAATCTTCTTTTTACACGTTCTTTACTTATTCCATGAGATAACTCTACTTCTGAACGAGCTTTACAACAGCTATCAACCAATTCAGCAACTTCAATTGTTTCTTTTAATAAACTAAAAGATTTTACTTTTAGAGTCTGAAAAGTAACTTTAGAACGTTTAATAGGACGTTCTAAAATAAAACTCCCAAATTTATTAAGAAGAGCAATGAGGAAAGCTTGTTGAATAGACTCAAAATTTTTCATATTTCTTTTTGATTGAACACAAGTTGAAACTAATTTCTTTGATAATAAAGAAGTTGAATGACATTGTGAAGGAAGTTCTCTAAAAGAAGAATAAACAGACATAGTATTAAGAAATGATATTGTTGAATAATTTTGGTAGATGAGTTTATATATCAAAGAAATACAATTTTACTTAAAGGCACAATTAACTATTAAACTTCGTAGGATGGTTTGAATAGTTTCAATAAAAAAAATATTTTTAGAGCAAGTATATTTCATCTAAACTATCTTCTTGAAATTTATTATTTTTTTTTTTGATAGTACATTATTATTATTCTTTTTAACTATTTATACTATTCATATCTCTTTACTCACCTTTTGGGGGTTCTATTAGTAGTTCTTAACATGAACTTTTGGTATAAAGTAGATATTCTTAATATATCAGGAAATTTACTTTTCAATTTTTTATTTTTTTTTAATTCTTGACTTTTCTTACTGATATCTCTCGTTCCAAAAATGTTGTGTCATTTTATTTCAATTAAAATTACACTTTTTTATATATTTTTAGAATAGGGGTAGTTCTATTACTCTCACAATTATATCTATTTGTTCCGGTATTCTTCTTCTGGCAAATAGCTTTCGACACAAATTATTTGTTCCACTTGTTTTTGAGTTGTAATTTTAAAATCGTAAAAAAAAACTGAAAACCTTTATTCATTTAATAACAAATAAACCTTCTTTAAACGTCTATAAAATTTATCTTTTTCTTTTATATTATAAAACTATTTGTTGAATTGTTATTTTAGTTCAATTGCAAATAGTTTGAAATAAGATGACAAACTATCAATTATAGCATATTATATTATTATTGTATTCTATTCTGTGTAAAATTTGTATTTTTTATTGAATAATCATAAAAATGAAGGACTGTGTTTTTAATTCGTTTAATTCAAAATTAAAATAGAACCCAAACTAAAAAATTGAACTTAATTCTTTGTGTAATAACAGTTAGAATAAATTAACTATCATAAAAAGTCTTTAATCATTTTGTTTTCATTACTCTTTTCATTTATTTCTAATTCTTCTTATTATTTTATGCCATTAAATAAAAAAAAATATTAGTACTTCATTCTGTTTATTGAAACAACTCATTTTATTCTTTTCTTTCTTCTTTTGTTTGTATTTGGTTAATTAATATTTTGTAGCTGGTTATAAACAAAATGAATTTTTTCTTTTTTTTCTATTTAATTTCTCTTTAACTTATAATATATCTCTTTTATTCATTCATACTCATTTTTATTTACTTTCTCTTTTGAACCTTGTTTTCATTAAAAATTTTTACTTATCTCTTATAAGTCATTTGAAACACAGTTATATTTTTTTATAAATAAGAAAAATATAATTGGTTCTGAATCATTTAATTAATTTCTCTTTTTCATTTAAAATAGAAAGTGTTTTTTTAATGAAATAATTTGTTGGTAATGAGAAATTTCCAGTTATTCACCATTAAGAGAAATATTCATTTTGACTTATATCATCTTTGATATTTTAAAAGTTTTTGTTGTGTCTTTAATTTTACATTGTTAATGATGAGACGATATTCATTCTAAAGCAAGGTTATTTGAAATATATTTTAGTCTAATCTGTATCTTTTATGTCAAACTTAATAATAATTTTAAACTTTTTTAATATGAAAAGAACTAAAAATAAGAAACAAATTTTTATAAGAAATCTTTTTTTTGATAAAAAAGAACTAGTTATTAAGTAATTATGAGTTTTCTGAACAACTATCAATGGAATGTACCATTCTTGAATTAATTAATAAAATTTTTTCATTGAACAATATGACCAAAAATATTTCTGAACAATGTGACTAACAACATAATGATATACTTCTTCTAAATTATTCAATTCTAAATAAACCTTTAAATATTGAAAATAATTCATAACTTCTTTTTAATTCATTTAATCAGCCAATCTACTAATGCCTCAAATCTCAGTCTTATTACCTTTCAATTTAGTCCAAATACAACAACAAATTCATCATTACTTCACCCATTTTAAACAATAATGTAATATCACCTTTTCTTTTTAAATTCAAACGTTTTCAAACTACTTTGAACTATTCTTAATATCAGACAAAGAATCAAATAACAATTTATTTTTAAAATTTTCCAGCAAATACTTTTAAAGAAATTTCAATTACAATCACTTCAAACCATTGTTGGAATAGTACTGAGTTTGAAAGAAAAGTCGGTTAAGAGCGGTAATAATGATGTTATTAAAAGTGATGTTGTTAAATAAATGAATTTTTTTTTAAAATAATCAAGTAATGACACTAAAAATGACAGAAGAAAAATAAATAAAATGAACAATTAAAAACCAAAAAAGATTAAAAAACTATTTTAATGATAAAATAACATAAAAAAAGATAATTAGATAAACCCTTCTTTTATTTAAAGAAAAAAAAAGACTTTCAAAAAGACAAAGTAATATTAAAAAAACAATTAAAATAACTTTTTTATTACTCATTATTTTTTATTTTAAAAAATTAAAATTTTTGTAATTTAAAACCACTTGTCTTAATTTATTTCTTACCAATTTTCTTGCCT